GGGCCGGGGCGGGGCCGCGTAAGGAGCAGGCGACGGGGCCGCGTAAGGAGCAGGGCGGGGCCGCGAGAGAGTGGGCGGCGAGGCCGCAGGGGAGAGGGCGACTCGAGGGGTCGCTAAAAAAATCGCGCCTCGGGGGCGCGCTTCGGTGGGCCCAAAAAAAATTTCGGTCCTGGAGGGACCTAGCTCTATACCATGTGAAAATGAGTAAGCAGGAATGAGTGAACTATGAATGAAAGCAGTACAAATGTGAAACCCTAACTGGGTTGTACCCCTTATGGGATACCCCACTACAGCCTACACAGCAGTATAAGCTATAGATATGTTCTGACAGGAACTGCAGAGTTTTTTAGGGTTTGTTAATTACGTTCGACGGTTCGTCCCCGACATGGCACGTTTAACAGCCCCGCTCACTGATTTACTGCGAAAGGGGGTCCCTTTTACGTGGGGGGAGAAAGAGCATGCTGCCTTCTCTGCCCTGAAAAATGTTCTCTGTTCACCACCCGTCCTACGCATCGCTGACCCACACCGCCCCTTCGAAGTGATTACAGACGCGAGTGACATCGCCATCGGAGCTGTACTGTTACAGGACTTCGGCGACGGCCTCCAACCCATCGCCTACGAATGACGCAAACTCCGTCCGCCTGAGCGAAAATACCCGATACACGACCGCGAAATGCTTGCGATTGCGCACGCATTCAAAGTGTGGCGCTGCTACTTGACCGGCGCAGACGTGACAGTACGGACAGACCATCGATCTCTACAGTACCTTCGCGCACAGCCCCACCTCAACCCACGACAGATTCGGTGGCTCGACTTCCTCGAGTCGAATTTTCACTATACGGTCACATACAAAAAAGGAGCCTCAAATATCGCCGACGCACTGACCCGCCCCATTGCCCACATCCATGCAATACTACTCGCTCAGACCAGCCCGCTACTGACAGGCCTATTTACCCACGGATATCAAACAGACCCATTCTTCACAGGAGGCAATTCACAGCAATTCGCAGCAGCCAAGGGCATCTACTACGTAAAAGCTGGAACCGACCGCATCTGGGTACCAGGGTACACATTACTACGGGAACTATTATTACAGGAGGCACACGACGGCGTTACCTCAGGACATTTCGGGGTAGAAAAAACACGGCAGCAGCTGCAGCGGTACTATTACTGGCCAGAAATGTTGACCGACGTGCAACGACACGTGGCATCGTGTCCCACTTGCCAGCTCATGAAGTCAAGCAGGAAGCGGCCGGCGGGACAATTGCAACCAATCCCACCCCCAGAGCGTGCTTGGCAGCAGGTGACGATGGACTTCGTCACGGGGTTACCAGCTGGGGCGAGTGGGAATGACGCGATCCTGGTCGTCGTCGATCGACTGACGAAAATGGCACACTTCGCAGCATGCAGGAAATCAATCACAGCCGAGGAAACGGCCCGACTCTTCATCACCACCGTCGTTCGACTACACGGGATACCAGCGTCGATCATCAGCGACAGGGACACGAAATTTACCAGCAACTTCTGGCGGAACCTGTGGCAGCAGTTTGGCACGCGACTTCAATTCAGTTCATCCTATCACCCCGAAACCGACGGACAGACGGAACGGACAAACCAGACCATGGAGCAGCTGATTCGAGCCACGTGCGACGATCCGAACACGTGGGAACAGCAGCTGCCCCTCATCGAGTTCGCATACAATAACGCGCCATCAGCCACGACACAATAGTCGCCGTTTTACTTGAATTACGGACAGGACCCAACAGTACCCATGACACCGAATCCCGACAACCCCGTCCCACGAGCACAACAGTTCGCCGAGATTCTGCAAGCAGCACGGACCAGGGCAGCAGAAGCAATAAAAAAATCAAATATCATCGCTAAACGCAACGCCGATCGCCACCGCAGACCCGTCACTTACCAGCCCGACGACCTCGTTTTACTCGACACTCAGAACCTCCGCCTGCCCATCACTCCCAAACTCCGCCCTCGATACAGTGGGCCATTTCGAATCAGTCACATGATCACGCCTGTCACCGCGCACCTCCTCCTTCCTGCTGACTGGTTCGTCAGCCCCTCGTTCCACGTTAGCCTGCTTCGCCCTTACGTACCATCCACCAGCCAACTCCCACGACATCGACCCTCCAGCATGACACGACCACCAACCGAACCAGTCATCACACCCGATAAAATCCTGAGCCACAGAGTTCGTGACCCTCGAGGAGCCCGAAAAGTGGAGTTTCTGATCCGCTGGAAAGATCGCAGCCCCCACCGAGGACAACTGGGTTCCCCTGGACAAAGTCGAAAACCACCCTGTCGTCACGGACTATCTGCGCAGCCGAAATTTCAGAGACGTCCACGCACTTTCGGAAAGAGGACCTCCTTAGGAGGGGGGGGTAGTGTAAGGAAATTCCATTTTCCTTACTTCGCGTCCCTGCTCAACGCGTACATCACTGTAGCACCTCAGTCAGCACCGTTACCACTCACGACCATCGCATCATTCATCATCCCGCCATTTTCGCACATCGCATCCCGACCTCACGGCTCGGCTGGTAACCCGCGCTCCGGGCCTACGCTTCGACACTTTCCCAACCTCAGTCCCAAGCTCGTCGCGCGACCATTACCGTTACCACTGTAGTTTCGCTATATATTGTTCGCTCATGCCTTCGCTCATTGTACCCTTGCTTCGATAGTGCAATTCTCGTTCGTTCACTCAATTGCACTCGTAACAACCAGAAAGACTAAAGCGTTTAGCTGTTGTCCAGTTTAGCTAGTCACTAGTGCGCATGTGAATCACTGAAGCTGGAACACAAAAATGAATCATTCTGTAACTGGTACACGCAGGAGAAGCCCACGAAAACTGGCCGTCCCTCGCACTTACCTCCCGCGCTGGGGTACCGTACAGAAGTATCAGAGGGGAGTAGGGATTGGATTTGGAGAGGGTTGGGTTGGGTTGGTTGGGGGAGGGCGGGGGGTTGAAAAACTGTGGGAAGAAGCCAACATGACTCCAATCAGCATTCCGCGAAGGACAGGCGGGATGGTTACAAGTTGAGTAGGGTCACAATCAAACGCTCTCGAGAACATTTTTACCAGGTTGGAGTTTGATTCGTAGGTTTTGGAAACGATGAGCTTAGTTACAGCGCGGTATCAGGTCGATGTCTGGCCCTCGATCCTCTATTTTGCCTTCGAATAAGACTCCCTGAACTGCGTCCGAGCCGAGCTGACTTATTTGAACACTGCCCCAGACAACCCACGATTTCACTTCCTGCACCTAAACCTGGACCTCCTAGTGTCTTCCATTCCAATAGAGTCGCAAAATAAGTCTTTCATTCCTTAACAAGTCCTGCATTGCCTCCAGGTCAAACACAATCACAGTTTCCGCCAGCACATCCGTGCCCGTTATGCGGGGATCGCCGGCATGACTCGCCAAATATCACCAACCGGTTTCTTCCGGTTCCAGTAGCCTCCTTTTAATAATCGATTTTTACAACGCGAATATCTGTTTCAATCCATTTCGCCTTGAACTGCGGTTTAACGCCAAACAAATAAATCCAAGCATTCTGGTCTGAGGTCAGTTGCCTTCATCTTCTCGTCGCGAGCGGCTGAGAGGAGTCTGCAACTCCAGCTATTTTCTTCTCTACTGTTATATGCTTTTTATTTTACGTTATTTGAAAATTGCCGTCGCTGCACCTCCCGACGAGCACCAACTTCCCGTTCGTATCTTCTCCTTTCCATTCGTCATATCCGTCATTCCAAACTTCACTCTCCCATTTCCGTGGCTTCTAGTCACGATCGGACGTTTCCGTTCTTCAGAAGATAAGAACGAACTTCAATCTCCACATAGCGCTCTTAACAGTGTCACTTTTGTCATCCTCGCCATCTCGTTGCTTCTTTCCACGTTTCACCTCCCGCGTGTATCAGCCAGTCCGCTTATTTTTCGTGTGTTGGGCTCATCTGAAGAGCTCAGCACGATCCGAATGGGGGCGAACCAGTCTGTCCACGACGACTCGGATTCAGGATCAGATGAGGAAGAGGGGACGCGGAGAGGAGCGGAGGAGGAAGACGAGGAGGACGAGGAGGAGGATGATCGCGGCAGCGCTGATGGCGAGTCACTTGAAGGCGTAAACGATGGCGAAAAGCCGCATGGCGAACGTCGCGGGAAGTTACCAGGAGGAGGGGAACGGGGAAGGGGTCTCGTGGGACAAGACGGAAGGTCGAGAGAGGTGGTTGTTGCGTGCCGTGGGCTTAATTCTGAGTCCAGTCAATCGGCGCAGCCCCAAAATCATCAATACTTTGACAATGCGAAAGACCTAGCAGCAACCGGTTCAGGCGGAAGGCTGGGCGATGCATGGCCAACGCATGGCCTGAATGGAAATGACATCAGGGAAACCAGGAGCGCCAGAAGAAGCGCTGGTGACCCTTCCAGTACCAGTGCTGCTGCTGCTGGTGCTGCTGGTGGTGATGACGATGGTGCTGGTGCTGGTGCCGGTGGGGTGTTGCTATTGGAGCAGGAACCGGAGGTAAGTCCGTTTCGACAGTCTCAGCTGCCAGTGGAACCACAGCACAATTCCCCTCAGTCCTCCCTCTCCGACCCCACACCCCCTGACATGCCGCCCTCCGTCCGCCTCTTGCCTCCCACGGCCGCCCCCGCTGCCGTTGCTGCTGCCAGTGGCTCTGCTACTGCCGCTGCTGATGCTGATGCTGGTGCTGGCACTGCTGTTGGTGCGGCATTGGAAGGGTTTGTTAACAGGAGAGTGGTTGCTGATGCTGCAACCGATGCCAGCTCCGGCAGTCGCAGCCGTACCAGCAGCGGCGGCAGCACCAGCAGCAGCAGCAGCAGCGATGGCTTTGGTGGGAAGCTGGGAGGGGAGAGCAGCGATGGCGCCGACAGTCGCAGCAGCGTCAGCCTTAGCCCCAGTGGTGTTGACGGTGCCGGATTCGCCACCAGCCGTAGTCTCGCCAGTAGCTTGGGATCCCCTGAGGAGCTCTCGCTGAGTCACATGCTTAAGCCTAGCCCCGCCGTTGTTGATGCGCTAGCAGCGTTGGAAGGGGAAGGAGAGGAGAAGAGAGGGAGAACGGGAGAGAAGGAGCAGTGGAGTCTGGCTGCTGAAGTGCTGGTGAATCCGGCTAGTAATGGGGTTATAGTGGCAACTGTGGGAGCGGGAGCGGCTGTTGAAGAGACGGGTTCAGCAGGGAGTGCGCTGGCTGCAGGCGGGGAGGACCCTGCTGCGATGGATGGTACAACCACCGCTGCTGCCACTGCTGCTGGTAGCAGTGGTGGAAGGCTGGCGAATGGGGAGAAGCAGGAGGAGGGTAGTGGGCAGGCGGGAGCAGCAGCAGCAGCAGGAGAGGCATCGCAGGCGTGGCAGGGGTTGATGGATGCACAGGTTGATGTGATGAGTGTGTCCCGCCCACTCTCCTCGCACCCCTTCCTGCACGCCACCTTCACCCCCAGTGACTACTCCACCGAGTTCTACATCATTCGGTGAGTGAGACATGCTCCCACGCACCCTCTAGCGCACCCTCCCTCCTTGGAGACGTCTCAATACTTCCTGCACGCCACCTTCACCCCCAGTGACTACTCCACAGAGTTCTACATCATTCGGTGAGTGAGACATTCTCCAATGCACCCTCCCGCGCACCCTCCCGCGCACCCTCCCGCGCACCCTCCCGCGCACCCTCCCGCGCACCCTCCCGCGCTCCCTCCCGCGCACCCTCCCGCGCACCCTCCCGCGCACCCTCCCGCGCACCCTCCCGCGCACCCTCCCGCGCACCCTCCCGCGCTCCCTCCCGCGCATCCTCCCGCGCTCCCTCCCGCGCACCCTCCCGCGCACCCTCCCGCGCACCCTCCCGCGCACCCTCCCGCGCTCCCTCCCGCGCTTCCTCCCGCGCACCCTCCCGCGCACCCTCCCGCGCTCCCTCCCGCGCACCCTCCCGCGCACCCTCCCGCGCACCCTCCCGCGCACCCTCCCGCGCTCCCTCCCGCGCACCCTCCCGCGCACCCTCCCGCGCACCCTCCCGCGCACCCTCCCGCGCACCCTCCCGCGCACCCTCCCGCGCACCCTCCCGCGCACCCTCCCGCGCACCCTCCCGCGCTCCCTCCCGCGCACCCTCCCGCGCACCCTCCCGCGCACCCTCCCGCGCACCCTCCCGCGCTCCCTCCCGCGCACCCTCCCGCGCACCCTCCCGCGCACCCTCCCGTGCTCCCTCCCGCGCTCCCTCCCACTTTGAAGACGCCTCGTAATTCCTTTTCTGCACGCCACCATCACCCCCAGTGACTACTCCACTGAGTTCTACATCATTCGGTGAGTGAGCTACTCTCCCACGCACCCTCTAGCACACCCCTCCCACTTCGGAGACGCCTCAATCCGTCCTGCACACCGCCTTCACCCCCAGTAACTACTCCATTGAGTTTTACATCATTCGTTGAGTGACCTACCCTCCTACGCACCCTCCCTCTTACTCTCTCACGCATTCTCTCGCGCGAATTCCCATGCACCCCTCCCCCCCCCCCCTCTCCCCCCCCGCTTCCATTCCCCCCGCTTATCGCATCGCGCCAGGCACGGGGAGGCAGCGCACAACGTGTCATCGCTCATAGGAGGCCGCTCCCACGGCGCTCCCCTCACAGAACTTGTTTTTGAGACGTCTCAGACCTTCCAACCCCACCTTCCTCTCCCCACCCACTGCATCGCGCCAGGCACGGGGAGGCAGCGCACAACGTGTCGCTGCTCATAGGAGGCCGCTCCCACGACGCTCCCCTGACAGCGCTGGGGCAGCAGCAGGCGAAGCTGCTGGGAGCGTACCTGCGCGAGTACGCTGGGCTGCGCTTCGACGCCATCTTCTCCTCGCCCATTGAACGATCCAAGCAGACAGCCATCCTCGTGTGCCAGGTACGTGCCGTGTGTGTGCCAGGTGGTACAAGGTGATTTTCCATTTGATTGGAAAGTCATGTGCAGGACTACGCTGCTGGGCTGCGCTTCGACGTCATCGTCTCCTCGCCCATTGAGCGATCCAAGCAGACCGCTATCCTCGTGTGCCAGGTGCGTGCTGTGTGTGTGCCAGGTGGTACAAGGTGATTTTCCAGTCGATTTGAAAGTCATCTGTGGGACTACGCTTATAGTGCTGAGCTATAGGAGCTTCCGCAGAGAATCGTGGGCTTAGGAGGAAAGGCAGTAGCCACACCTTTGCTCAATCCCTCCCCTTTCTCCTTTGTGATGAGTCGACTCAAAAATCGACTCATCACACGAAGGCAATATCCACACCTTTGCTCAATCCCCTCCCTTTCTCCTTGGTGATGAGTCGACTCAAAAATCGACTCATCACATGAAGGCAATAGCCACACCTTTGCTCAATCCCTTCCCTTTCTCCTTTCGCCCTTCTCCGTTCTCCCTCTTATCTTCCTCACCCCCATACCTTTTCTCCCAACCACCTTTCCCCCGTCTCTTCGCAAGAGGTATTAGAGTCGGTCAGAACACCACCGCATTCTGTGTGTTCTCAGACGAGCTGCAGGAGTTGTCGCAGGAGTTGTGGGCTCAGTAACAGCAACAGACGCACCTCCACACCTTTCTATTCCCCCTTCTCCTGTCCTCCCATCCCATACCACAGGAGATAGGCGAGGCGGAGAGCCGCCGCATTCAGTATTCGGAGGAGCTGCAGGAGCTGTCGCAGGGGTGATGGGCTCAGCAACAGACGAGCAACAGATGCACCCCTTTACTCCTTTGCTTTCGCCCTCTCCCCTCCCCACACCCTCTGCAGGAGATAGGCGAGGCGGAGAGCCGCATTCAGTATTCGGACGAGCTGCAGGAGCTGTCGCAGGGGTCATGGGCTCAGCAAAACAACAGACGAGCAACTGACAGATACACCCCTTTACTCCTCTTTCTCCCTTCCTCCCGTTCACCCTAAACCAACAGGAGATAGGCGAAGCGGAGAGCCGCATCCAGTATTCAGACGAGCTGCAGACTTACCCCTACTCCTCTCCCTTCTACCTTTTACCTTTCCCGCCCCTCCCACAGGAGATAGGCGAGGTGGAGAGCCGCATTCAGTATTCGGACGAGCTGCAGGAGCTGTCGCAGGGGACGTGGGAACGGCAACCGCGGCGGACCATCTACCAGCAGGGCGTGCTGGAGCAGATGACTGCTGCTCAGCCTGACTTCCGCGCCCCTGGGGGGGAGTCCCAGCGCCAGGTGGGGGAAGGGGGAAGAGTGGGGAAGGAGGACGAAGGGAAGGGGGGGGGAAGAGGTGGGGGGTGGGTGTGAGGGGGAAGGGAGTGGGGAGAGAAAAGGAGAGACGCATGGGGGACGGTTCTGACTGTGTGTGTCTCTAGCTGTGAGACGTCTCAAAGCCGCGGCGGACCATCTACCAGCAGGGTAGATGACTGGCGCGCAGCCTGAATTCCGTACCCCCGGGGTGGAGTCCCAGTGCCAGGTGGGTGTGCGTGAGAGGAAGTGGGGCGGGAGGGGAAATGGGGAAGAGAGGGGGAAGGGAGGGGGAAGGAAGGGGAAAGGGATGGGGAGTGAAACAGGGGAGGAAGGTGCTGAGTGTGTGCTGGTGCAGATGACTGGCAGGCTGAGGGAGGGGGACAGGAGGGGTAAGGGAGTGGGAAGGAAGTGGGGCAGGATGCGGAGAGAAGCAGGGGGTCTTGAGACGTCTCAAAACTCTTCTTTTTTCATGGGGTTGGGTGCTGTGCCTGTCTGCCTGTCTGCCTGTCTGTGTGTTTGAAGATTGGTTTTGAGACTTTTGAGACGTCTCAAGACCAATCTGCATACACGTGGCTACCTTTTTTCACGGGGTCGGGTGCTGTACCTGTCTGTGTGTATGAAGATTGGTTTTGAGACTTTTGAGACGTCTCAAGACCAATTTGCATACACGTGGCTACCTTTTTTCACGGGGTCGGGTGCTGTGCCTGTCTGCCTGTCTGTGTGTCTGTGTCAGTTAGCCTGTATGTGATTGTAAGTAGGTGTGTGCTTGGGAGTGAGAAAGCTTACCACCCAGCCTATCCTCACACACTCTCCTCTCCTCTTCCCTCCTCTCCACTCTTCTCCCCTCCCCTCCACTCCCCTCCACACCCCTCCCTTCCCCTCCACTCCCCTTATCTCTTCCCACCCTGCTCCCCCCTCTCTCTCCCTCCTCTCCTCCCAGGTGGAGATCCGCGTGGTGGAGTTTAGGGACAGTGTGCTCTCCTGAGAATTCTCAAAAGGAGTTAAGGGTCAGTGTGCTCTCCTGAGAATTCTCAAAAGGAGTTTAGGGTCAGTGTGCTCTCCTGAGAATTCTCAAAAGGAGTTTAGGGTCAGTGTGCTCTTCGCCCGTCAGCACCTCATCTCCCCAGGCCTCGCTGCAGGCACCTCAAAACCCCCCTCCCCTCCCCACCCCGCTCCTCTCAATCGAACCCTGGTCCTCTCCCAGGTGGAGTTCCGCATGGTGGGGTTCATCAACAGTGTGCTCTTCGCCCGCCCGCACCTCAATCCTCCGAATCGACTCAATACTTTTACCTCCCCTCCCCGTCCCCCCACTTCCCACCTCTCACCCTGGTCCTCTCCCAGGTGGAGTTCCGCATGGTGGAGTTGACCAACAGTGTTCTCAATAACCAGCTTTTGAGACATCTGATTATTAATTAGCTTTCCCCTCCCCCTCGTCCCCTTCCCCTCCCAGGTGGAGTTCCGCATGGTGGGGTTTATCAACAGTGTGTTCTTCGCCCGCCAGCATCTCATCTCCCGGGGCCCTGCTGCCTTTCAACACGACTGTTGAAACAGCGACGGTTTTCCCCACGCACAGCACCGCTGGAAACAACCCCACTCCCTTCCCCACCCCGCTGCTCTCTCCCCCTCGTCCCCTCTCAGGTGGAGTTCCGCATGGTGGAGTTTATCAACAGTGTGCTCTTCGCCCGCCAGCATCTCATCTCCCCAGGCCCCGCTGCCCTTGCTGCTGCGCACTGCCTCGGCCTCCACACCAGCCACTCCGCTCCCTCCCTGCACCACCTCGCCTCTCCTCCCCCCCCCGCCGCTTCTTCCTCCTCCTCATCCTCCTCCCCCGCCTCCGCCTCTTTTCCTTCTGCTTCCTCGACCTCCTCCTCAGCTTCTCACTCGTCAGTTATGCCGTCTGCCTCTGCCCCGTTCTCGTCCACCTCATTCTCCTCGTCTTCGTCTTCTGCCGGCGCCACGCCTGCTAAGGACCGCCCCCCACGGGCACCCGTGGGAGCAGCTGGAGCAGGAACAGCCACTGCAGCAGCAGCAGTAGCAGCAGTAACAGGAGGGGGAGGAGCATCAGGAGGAGTGGGTTTACCTGGTGGGGATGGTGGCAGTAGTGGCACCAGTGGGGACGATGGTATCACCAGCGCCAGCAGTGTCAGCGGCACCGGAAGCCACAGTAAGGGGGGCAGTGTGTTTCGTGTTGCAGTGTTTTCCCATGGCACTGCTATCCGCTGCCTGCTTCGGGGTCTGCTTGGTTCCAACCCGCACTTGACCCAGAACATTGGCATCGACAACACCTCTATCACGCTGCTGAAACACACGCCTAAGAAAGGGTGGCATCTGGTGAAGACAAACGACACCGCCCACTTAATTATTGCCAAGGGTCCGCTGTCTGCCCAACAAGCCTGCTAGTGATGATGATGCTGATGTTGATGATGGTGATGTTGATGATGCTGATGTTGATGATGCTGATGAATCTATGGGGATAACAAATGACTTGTGTAATGCTGGCTGTGATGCTGATGATGCCGCTGCTGCTGTGATGGTGCTGCTGGTGGACTCGATGTTGCTGGTACTTGCTAGGGGCACCTGCTGCTTTGGTGATGGTGATGCTGCTGCTGATGTAGCGTCACTCTGCTGCTCTGTATTCCGGACTGCTATTTCATGCCCCAACTGTGTTCTGTGTCTTTCAACAATAAATACATGGAGTGGAAAAATGTTGTTTTCTCAAGAGGGATGACTCATCCAAAACCTACAGCACACAGAACACTATTTTTTTGTGAACACAACTGGATGATGCTAGAAAGACATAGTGCCAGCGTAGCGGAAACGTGTTTGTAGAAAAGAACAAGATAGAAATCTTGCATTGATCATTGAAAAGTAAAAGGATGACACAATGAGTACTCAATGATGTGACACAGCAGGGTATATATGCATCCAGCTACCCCTCCAGAATGACCCATTCACACCAATAATGGTGTACCAATAATTGTACCCTCTACCCTCCAATAATGCTGACCTCCAATAATTCTGGCCCCTACAATAATTGTAGGACCTGGAAGCTTATAAAGAGGACTACACTAAAACCAAACAGCACACTGGTATACAGTATTCGTTATACTGTATTCGGATTTCCAACACTCCCCCTTGCTGTAGGTTTTAGTGAATCCGATTTCCTTGGAGGTTGGGGTGGTCGAAGTGGTATACCACCACAAAGTAGGGGTGCGCCCAAACCAAGCTAGGGTTTGGTGTTGGTCAAGCTGTTTGTCACTGTAGCACCTTTCCCTTCCCAACCTTTGGTGCTTTCAAACTCCAACCAAACCTCCTCCCTTGATGTTTTCCAATCCCTCCTTCCACTGGCGACTTTCCAGATCTAGATACAGCGCGTAGTGGCTGCTACTGAGGAAATAGTAGCAGCTCCATGACGAAATCTCCTCGTAACCATGGCGAAATGCGTAGATCGTCATGGCGGATTGCCCTTAGCGCACACCGAATTTCCGAAACCGTAGACTTGACTACACGCGATTGTCAATGCTACTGTCTTTTTCGCACGCCTCCTGTGCGACGACGCAAAACCGCAGTGGATGCGCGTCTGCGACGACTGCAGCTGCGGATGACGTGAATCGGTAGCAGATAACACAGGGTGTGCGGCTGGCGCGGAACTGCATTGGTGGGCGCACACTTCGCGCGACAGAAGTGACGACTTGTCGTTCATCAGCAGCTGACGATCTGCTGCGCGTCTGCTGCATCATTTTCGTGTCCGCGCTTGCTGCATCTTCGTATGCCTTTCTCCCCATGCTTTGACAATCATGCCAAGTTTGCTCAAACTTCACCTATGTTGTCATGTGATGCTCCCCATACACTCCAGTCGACACACGGTAGTAGCCGGAGTTGCCGAACTTCATCAGCTCGAGGGTTGCGCATGCCGACGAACTCCAAGTATCCCAGAAAACTGTACTCCATATATGCAGAAACGTCCTCTTTAAGTATGCAGTGCACACCAGGTATGCAGAAATGTGCACACCAGGTATGCAACAGTGTCCACACCAGGTATGCAGAAATATTTGCTCCCATGTAGATTCTCCGTTCTTCCCTCGCGGTTGTGCCGTTCATCAGCAGTAACCAGTCGTACGATACCGCTCCAGCACGACGGATGACGACCGGCTGCATCCATTCTGCCTGCTCCCCCTGCCTATTGACAACCCTTGGTGAGTAGGTCTTCCCCTTATGCTTCTTGACTCCATGTCCCACTCCTATGCCACCAGACATACTCCACACCCCACCTCCCGCCACCCATGTGCTTGTAGTGATCCGCGTACACAGCTACAAGCACATGAGTGAGTGTGAACTTAGGTGATGCCATGTTGTGCCGCACCGTTCGAGGTGGCTGCACAGGTGAGTACAACACCATAATCCTTGACTTGATTGCCTTGACCAGCCAGCAGAGTGCAGGTAAGATGCTTCTTTCTTGACTCGTTCACCGCATCTCCAACGTCGACATTTTCCACGTCTTCCGAAATGGAGACACCTGCTGCAGGTAAGTCATCTGCATCTCCGCTTCCTTGGGTTGCAGCAACTTCATCAGCTCCAGGTAAGTCCTGTTTTACAGGGTCAGCTCCATCGACTCCCAAATCCATCGCGAACCGTTTTTCTTCTCCCCCTGAAGTCCACACCGCAACGTGGGGTGAGACTTCATGTGTGGTATCATCATGTGCCCGCTTCCGCACGATGCAGGCTTTGTGTGCCATGCGGTACTGAACGGATGCATGTGCAGAGCGGACACTCAACTGCACTCCAGGTGTGCAGGAACGTGTACCCTCTTCACAATCATGCTTCTTTGATGACGCGCCATCATGGGAATGTCCAGTATCATGGGCGGATGTAAGTGCATGCTCATACTGCACCACGAGCACTCCATCCACGTTCTTGCCAACTCCAATCCGCACGTACTCCTCTCCATCTTTCATGGTGACTTCTACGTCTCCATAAGCAATCGTATTGATGTGTGCTCCCTTTTTCAGCAGCTGACAATAGGAGAGCAGGTTGCTCTTCAGGCCAGGTACGTAGAGGACGTCAGTGTACCGGACTGTTGTCCCATCAGGTGCCGTTGCTCTGATCGTTCCCGTCATAGTGCTGCTCAGCTCGCTCCCATTAGCGAGCTCCACACAAACAGGTTCATCCAGCTCCCTTAACTCTTCAAACCAGCGCTTGTCCGGGGTCATGTGCTGGCTGCATCCACTATCCAGCATCCAAGATGACGCTTTAGCTGGTGGTAAGGTAGCTTGTGACGATCCCACCGTTGCAATGCACGTAACAGTACGTTGCTTGTCTTCCCCGGCTGTCCCTTGCTGTGTTGATGCTTCGTCGTCACGCTTGGGGCTGCGACTCCTTCGTGGGGAGGACGAACGACTATCGCTGGTGTGCAGTTTTGCCTTTCTGGTATGCGGTTCCCACCCTGGTGGTGACCAGCCAGGGGGTGCCTTAGTACACTTGAAGAAGGGGTGGCCGACCTCCTTGCAGTACCAACACAGAAGAGGTGAGCGATCCGCACTTCCTTCCTTGCCATGCGTTTTCTCCCCACTGGACCCCTCCTTCCCGGTTTTGCCCTTAGCAGTTGGAGAAGGTGAGTGGTCTCCACGTGCTTGTCCAACCATACGAGGTGGACGCCGGTCACGGTTATTCTTCGTGATGAGGTCGTGGTATCTCTGCTCCTGAATCATCATCCGCTGCAAGGTGAAGCTGTCCGTCACGTTGTGTAGCATTGCCGAGTGCCTCATCTCCTCCCAATGTGCCGGTAGTCCGGTGAGCAGATTTAAGGTAAATGTGTCCTCATCCACCATCTTCCCCGCGAGTGCTAACTTGTCCCGGATTGCCGTTGCGCGGTTCACGTACTCCTCCACCCTTTCCGCATTCCCCATTTTCAGGTTGTCCAGCTCCTTCATGAGAGATACCTTCGCCACCGAATCTTTGGCCTGGTAAGTATCCATTAAGTACTCCCATGCTTCATAAGCCGGGCTGTAGGATTCCTGGAACATGTCTAGTTGTAGTTGAATCGTGGCGCTCACGCTGTGCAATAGGACCCAAAAGGCGAGTGCCGCACGCTGGGAGTAATCCGCCTGTAGCATTTCCAGCCGCCCCATAGCGTCGTCAATGTCACCATCTCCAATGGTAACCGGATACTGCAGGGTCACAAAGAACTCCCACAGATTCGTGACCCGGGCGTTCATACGAAACCGTAGTGCCCATTCACGGAAATTTGAGCCGTCAAACGGAGTGGTGGTGAATGCCTTGTCCACCGTTGCTCCCACCATTTTGCGTGACAGTCGTTCCTTGTCTTCGTCCGTATATTCACGTGGTGCGGGGTCGAAGAGAGTAGGCATGGTTGACGGTCGAGGTAGCTGTACCGTGCGCCGCATATCTCCATTCTGTCCACCAAGTTGACGTTCCAGCACTTCCACTTGATCCCGTCGCATGACACCATTTGACTGCATTCCGTATCCCATCCGCCCCATGCTGTCCACAGAGTGTGCGCTGATTGGTGGACGATGTGCACGTGGAGGGATGATGTTGTCGCCATGAAGGTGAGACCTGGGCATGGGAAGAACTCCAATGGGATGGGAGTTGGTCGCAAGTCGTCGTAGTGGGGGAGCACCAATAGTGTAGGAGGCGAATCCCACACCTTCCACGCCCACTTCACCACTTCTGTCACCCTGATGCCCAATCTGTCCACTTCTCATCCCACCAAACACTGCACTCCGATACTCATCATTCCTCCTCCGTGCTTCCCTTTGCATGGATGATTGAGGTGCGGAATTGGCGATCTCCTCTCCTTGGACGGATGCATCCCTCCATTGGGATGACTCTCCTCCTTGAGGTATGCCCATTTCCCCTTCACCATCAATTCCTGCATGAACATTTGCACGAGTTTGGTTAGTACGTGGAGTGCTTGAATGAGATTGTTCATGGGTGGACAGATTGCTGAACTCATGAGAGAGTTTTGCTCTTGGCTGGATTGTCATTCCAAACTTGTCCCTTAACGAAGCTTGGAGAGTTGGTGGTGCCCTTGCAATCATGCTTTCCAGGTGCTCATGCTGAGCCATGATGGCTTCTTCAAAAGCCGCATATCCAGGATCCACTTCGCCATCGAAGTGCGCCATGACCTTGACAAAACCGTCCACCAAGTGTGCGGTAAACGCGCAGTTGTAACCAACAGCGAACACCAGGTGTACGAAAGCGTAGACCGGGTGTGCGGTACTCCGACTGTATGCAGGTACCTATCCAAACTGTATGCCAGTAAATTCCTGAACCAGTTTTGGCAGCATGCCCCCTAGAGTAGCTCTGATACCATGCTAGAAAGACATAGTGCCAGCGTAGCGGAAACGTGTTTGTAGAAAAGAACAAGATAGAAATCT